ATAGTTTTCTATTTTGGTGGTGTCCTTTCCTGGCTTTGGTATCAAGGATATGTTTGCTTCATAGAATGAGTCTGGGAGAATTCCATCTTTTTCTATTTTCTGAAATAATTTATGTAGAATTGGTGACAGTTCTTCTCTGAATGTTTGATAAAATTCACTTGTAAAACCATCTAGTCCAGGGCTTTTTTTTTTGTTGGAAGTTGTCGTATTACCTTTTCAATTTCTTCTTTTTTAATGGGTCTATTCAGATGTTCCATTTTGGTGTCAGTTTAAGTAGGCTGTGTATTTCTAAGTATTTGTCCATTTTCTCTAGGTTTTCATATTTTAGTTTTTCATAATACTCTGTTAGCTTTTTATTTTAGTTTATTTTGGTTCTGTTGTGATGTTGCCTGATTCATCTCTTATTTGGATTATTTGTGTCTTCTTTTCTTTTGTGAGTTTTGCTAGTGGTTTGTTGATTTTAATGACCTTTTCAAAGAACCAACTCCTAGTTTTGTTGATAGTTTCAATTGTTTTTTTATTTTCTATTTATTTCTGCTTTAATTTTTATAATTTTAGGTTCTTTAGAGGGTGTTGGATTTTCTTGCTGGTTTTTTTTTTTCAATTTGCTAGACTTGTTGGGTTAGAGAGTCAATGGTCAGTTTTTCCTGCCTTTTGATGTTTTTACTTATTGCTATAAATTGACCTTTGATTACTGCTTTAGCTGTTTCCCAGAAGTTTTGGTAAGTGGTGTTTTCATTGTCATTTGTTTCAAGAAACTTTTTCATTTCATTCTTTTATTTCTTCTAGTACCCAGTCATGTTCAAGCAAGGTGTTGTTCAGCTTCCAAATGTATGGGTTTCTTTTCTCATCTTATTATTAATTTCTAATTTTGTAGCATTATGGTCTGAAGAGATGGTTTGTATTATTTCTATGTTTTTAAATTTATTGATGCTTGCCTTGTGACCTAGAATGTGGTCTATTTTGGAGAATGTTCCATTCACATTGGAGAAGAAGGTATACTGAGCTTTTTGGGGTGCATTAGTCTATAAATGTCTATGAGGTAAAGTTGGTTTATTGTGTGGTTTAATTCTTCAGTATCTCTGTAGAGTTTTTTTCTGGTAGTTCTATCTTTTCTTGAGAGGGGTGTATTGAAGTCTCCAAGTACAATAGTAGTGTTGTCTATTTCCTTTTTCAGTTTTGTTAATGTTTGTTTTATGTATTTTGCAAGTCTTTCATTTGGTGCATTGATATTTATTATTGTTATGTCCTCTTGTTCTATTGACCCTTTCAGCATTATTTAGTGACCTTCCTTGTCCTTTGTGATGATTTTTACATTGACATTTATTTCATCAGAGATTAATATTGCTATTACTGCTTTTTTTCAGGTTGCCATTTGCTTGGTATATTTTTCCCCACCCTTTTACTTTTAGTCTTTCTTTATCTTCATTTTTCACGTGTGTCTCTTGTAGACAACATATTGATGGATTTTGGTTTTTTATCCAATCTG